CAGAGCAGACACCAGGTCAAAGCTCTCAAACAGCATGGTGAGGAGGGTGGGCACAGTCTGCTGGGACCAGGAGCCAGATCAGCCCTGCATGGGGGCAGCACCTAGGAGACAAACAGGGACTGTCAGCACCCTGGCAGGAGCCACATCCACTGTGACAGCCCCAACTCACACAGATACAAAGTAGCAGTAAGTATCCAGGTCCAGCAGGGCTCAGTGTGTGAGTGTGAGTGGCAGCTTCAGGTAGTCTGAGATGAGCTCCCAGTGTGAGTGTTTATATAGAGGCGGGGAGGCTGTGCTCGGGCAGGCGGCCAGGTACTGGCAGCTCCCCCAAACCCCCACCCCTTCACTGACTGGGAGGCGGGGAGACTGAGGAGAGCGGCCGCTGGAGCGTGCGAGCCCTGGCTGGAGGTGCTGCCAGGCAGTGTGTGGCAGTGACTGAGGGTGCCAGGCTGCCACAGTGTGAGGGTGACTGAGGGTGCCAGGCTGCCAGGCAGTGTGTGACAGGGTGACTGAGGGTGCCAGGCTGCCAGGCAGTGTGTGACAGGGTGACTGAGGGTGCCAGGCTGCCAGGCAGTGTGTGACAGGGTGACTGAGGGTGCCAGGCTGCCAGGCAGTGTGTGACAGGGTGACTGAGGGTGCCAGGCTGCCAGGCAGTGTGTGACAGGGTGACTGAGGGTGCCAGGCTGCCAGGCAGTGTGTGACAGGGTGACTGAGGGTGCCAGGCTGCCAGGCAGTGTGTGACAGGGTGAATGAGGGTGCCAGGCTGGCAGGCAGTGTGTGACAGGGTGACTGATGGTGCCAGGCTGCCAACCACTGTGTGACTGGGTAACTGAGGGTGCCAGGCTGCCAGGCAGTGTGTGACAGGGTGACTGAGGGTGCCAGGCTGCCAGGCAGTGTGTGACAGGGTGACTGAGGGTGCCAGGCTGCCAGGCAGTGTGTGACAGGGTGACTGAGGGTGCCAGGCTGCCAGGCAGTGTGTGACAGGGTGACTGAGGGTGCCAGGCTGCCAGGCAGTGTGTGACAGGGTGACTGAGGGTGCCAAAAGGCTGCTGCCAGGCAGTGGCGGCAGAGGAAGCTGAGGGGTGCCAGGCACCAGGCAGTGTGTGACAAAGTGACTGAGGTGCCAGCCTGCCAGGCAGTGTGTGACAAGGAGTGACTGAGGGTGCCAGGCTGGCAGGCAGTGTGTGACAGGAGTGACTGAGGTGCCAGGCAGTGTGTGACAGGAGTGACTGGGGGTGCCAGGCTGCCCAGGCAGTGTGTGACAGGAGGTGAGGTGCCAGCCTGCAGGCAGTGTGTGACAGGAGTGAATAGAGGTGCCAGGCTGGCAGGCAGTGTGTGACGAGGTGACTGAGGCTGCCGGGCAGTGTGTGTGACAGAGGTGACTGAGGGGTGCCCAGGCTGCCGGCAGTGTGTGACAGGGTGACTGAGGGTGCCAGGCTGCCAGGCAGTGTGTGACAGGGTGACTGAGGGTGCCAGGCTGCCAGGCAGTGTGTGACAGGGTGACTGAGGGTGCCAGGCTGCCAGGCAGTGTGTGACAGGGTGACTGAGGGTGCCAGGCTGCCAGGCAGTGTGTCACAGGGTGACTGGGGTGCCAGGCTGCCAACCAGTGTGTGACTGGTTGACTGAGGATGCCAAGCTGCCAGGCAGTGTGTGACAGGGTGACTGAGGGTGCCAGGCTACCAGGCAGTGTGTGACAGGGTGACTGAGAGTGCCAGGCTGCCAGGCAGTGTGTGACAGGGTGACTGAGGGTGCCAGGCTGCCAGGCAGTGTGTGACAGGGTGACTGAGGGTGCCAGGCTGCCAGGCAGTGTTTGACAGGGTGACTGAGGGTGCCAGGCTGCCAGGCAGTGTGTGACAGGGTGACTGAGGGTGCCAGGCTGCCAGGCAGTGTGTGACAGGGTGACTGAGGGTGCCAGGCTGCCAGGCAGTGTGTGACAGGGTGACTGAGGGTGCCAAGCTGCCAGGCAGTGTGTGACAGGGTGACTGAGGGTGCCAAGCTGCCAGGCAGTGTGTGACAGGGTGACTGAGGGTGCCAGGCTGCCAGGCAGTGTGTGACAGGGTGACTGAGGGTGCCAGGCTGCCAGGCAGTGTGTGACAGGGTGACTGAGGGTGCCAGGCTGCCAGGCAGTGTGTGACAGGGTGACTGAGGGTGCCAGGCTGCCAGGCAGTGTGTGACAGGGTGAATGAGGGTGCCAGGCTGGCAGGCAGTGTGTGACAGGGTGACTGATGGTGCCAGGCTGCCAACCACTGTGTGACTGGGTAACTGAGGGTGCCAGGCTGCCAGGCAGTGTGTGACAGGGTGACTGAGGGTGCCAGGCTGCCAGGCAGTGTGTGACAGGGTGACTGAGG